TTTTTAGAAATTAGCGCTACGTTGAGTGAAATGTCAGGCATTCTTTTACACGCCACAAGTAGACAAAAACACCGCTCTCTTGGCTTCTAAGAGTTCAGTCTAGGGGGACCGACAAGCCCGTGATGATGTCATCACCACTGAAAGTGATACGATTGCCAGGTGCTGGGGAAACAAGGCAAAAGAAACAGTATCCGCAACCAGGGCCGAGGCCCCTGGAGAGTAGCCTGCAATGGGGAGCTTGGGGCGGAGGGGAGGGAGGTGGCGTGTCCGAGGGCAGGCTCTTTCCTGAATGCGCGAGCAGGTCCTCCACCTGGTGCAGTTGTGAGTTTCCTAGTCTGTACTTCAGAAATCCCCCTTTTAGTTAGTTTTCAGTGTAAATGAACTAGATTGCGTTCATCTGGCACAATCTTATTTATGTTTTTTGTTGCAGGAAATTGAAGAGCCATCCTTGGAGCCAGGTACTGTTAAATGAAAAACTTACCAGCGGGGGTTTGGAACCATTCTAGCTTTCCACCTTCTCTAATTTAAATTCTTTAATTTTAAAAAGTTGCCTTACTGTAGTATACATTGTTCTAAAGGTTTACGATCCAGAACATACCAGGATCATAGAGATTGGAAACCCAGCCATATCACCAGATCTGTGAAAGTGGCTGACTTCTCATTTTACAACTGTATTGGTGAGATGAGACTATCTCATGCCTTTTTAAACGTAAACGGCATTTAAACACGTAGAAAGAGTTTGCATGCCTCTCAAGAGCTAATAACCTCTGCACCCCACAAAACAGATCTTGTGATATTGGGCAGTGTCTTAACTTTGTGGTTTTTAATTCAGGCAGTGCAGGTAGCTGTAGGGAGATGCGTTTTAAAACATTGAGACATAACTGGATTCCAGAAGAGGAAAGAGTTTCTTCATGAGAATTCCAAACAAATACCGTTCACTTTCTGGACTGCAAATATCTCAGATCACCGATGGAAGAGATTCTGGTTTTCATGTTGGACTGTTCTGTTAAAAGAAATTCAAAGAAATTTGGAAATTGAGCTGTTCAGTGAATGGTGATACATTCAGTTAAGCAACTTGGACTTTGGAAGCTAAATTTGGAAGAGTTCT